ACGGTAATTATTCTTCTTTTTCTTTTTTTTCTTTTTCTTTTTTCTTTTCTTTTCTTTTCTTTTCTAAATACTTTTTTTTTGCTTTGCTTTGCCCGCTCTCCCCACGGAGGGGCGGGCGCCACTCGCGGCTGTCGGCAGATCCCGCCCAGAGACGCGCAGAGGGGACGGTTCTTCGTGCGCCGCGCAGAGGAAGCGGCGGGTGGGCGGGGCGACGGCACGCTGAGGTGCCGCCAGTGAAAAAGTGAGCTCTGCGTGGACAATGAGGGGGACGTATTGGGGTGAATCGAACACACATATCTTTTTGCTTTTCCTTTTGTTTTTGTTTTGTTTTCTGGAGGCGAAAATGCACGCGGCGCGGTGTTGGTGTGCGTGGCCAGCCGTATTTGTCTGCCTGCTTCGTTTTCCGTTTTAATTGTTTTTGCTCTTCCGTAAGTCTTCTTTTTTGCTCACTTTGTTTCTGCACGGCGATCGTGCGACTCACCGCGGGCTGGGCCGCGGCGCCGTGCCCGATGTGGCTGCCGTGCTGCTTCCCTCCTGCCTCCTTCGCTGCGTGCGGGCGTGGCTGGTGATGTGCCTCTCTCTCTTTCCTTTCCTTTCCTCTGTGTGTGTCTTTGGGTGCCGTCTGCCGCGGGCATGCCGTGCGCCCCGGCGTGCTCGCCTCTTTTTGGCGACTGCAGCGGTGTGGTGTTGGGAGCGGGCGAGGGGCCTCTTTTTACTGCGGCTGCGCTCGCCGTGGGGATGTTTTGCGTTGCCCCAGCCGCGCGGGGAGGGGCTTGCCGATTCCCCCGCGTGTTTGTTTGGGCGCCTGCGGCGGAGCCGGGGGGTAAAATGCGGAGCCCCAACCGCTGCTGCTCCGCCGCGCGTTGCCGCGGAGCGAACTCGTGCGGCTCGGCGCACTGACGGGTTGACTGTTGGGCCGACCGCAGGGACTGTGGCGGCTGCGGCAGCCCGTGCCCAGGCCCTGCTGATTAGTTGCGGTGCTCGGCGGCGGATGCATGCGAGCCGCTCGGGGCACGTGTTTGTTTTTTGCCCCGCATGTTTGTTTGTTGCGTTGCCCGCCACGCGGCGGCGGTGCTGGCGCCCCGCACGAAGAGGAGCTCGCAGCCCCTTCGCCGCTTTTCTCACGGAGGCGCGAGCGGCGGCGCGTTGGCTACCGCGGCCGGTCGGACGTGCGGCTTCCCCGCGGGCCCTCACAAACGCGTGGCGGACCGCACGCCCACGGCGCTGCTCAACCGTCGCCGTGGGCTTCTAAGTGTGGGCGACGCTCCGCCGCGTTGTCTCCGTCGGGCTGTCGCTTTTCCCGCTCTCCACGTGCGAGGCGTGCGCTGCTCCCCGCTGCCGCACCTGCGTCATCGCCGCTGCCCGTGTTCGCTCTTCTTCACACTTCTCTTTGCGCACACACGCCGAAGGTAAGAGACCAAACGCAGCTTGCTGCCGCTGCTTTTTGCGCCTTGAGGGCTCTGCAGTTAACAACAGCAATCAACACACACACAACCGTCGCGGCCTGCGTGGACCCGCCGCAAGGAGGGAAGGAATAAAGAGAGAGCGGCTACGGCCCAACATGTCCCTGCACTGGCCTTCCTCAGCGGTGCTCCTGCTCTTTTTGTTGGTGTGCTGGGGCGGCAGTGGGGCTGAGGCCATCGCTGCGGAGACGCAGGAGGCGTCGAAGGAGGTGGAGCTCTTCAAACAAGGGGAAATGGAGTCACGCGGGTGCGGCGATGGGGAGCTTTCTGCGCTGGGCAGTGTCTTTCAGTTCAACGGCCATTCTCTTGTCGCTGTGGACGGGACGATTGTGGCCCTTGCCGAGGCGCAACACAACGCCTCATTTAGCAGTGAAGTTGCGATCATGGCGAGTTCCGGGTCACGTGCAGGGAGTTGCTGGGAGACACAAATTGTCTTTCGAAAGGAGCCGGCGCCGCGCTTTTCCGTCACGCTGGCCGGCTCCCGGGCAGTTGTAAAGGACAAGAAGATTTTTCTCTTGGCGACGAGCTTCTTCGAGCCGCAGTCCCGGTTAAAGGTGCCGCCACCGAATGACGGCTGGGAGGCGGCGTTGGTAGTCGGCGACGTCGCCGCGGCGGTGGCCGGGGGCCGGACGGCCAGAGCGGTCAGCTGGAGTTCCCCGGTGCCGCTGACTAGCCTCTTCGCGGAAGAGATGGGGCGGCACGCATGGACGATTTTTCGCGGTGGCGGCAGCGGCGTTGTGCTGGGCAGCGGTGCGATAGTGTTCCCGTTTCTCGCCACGACCGCGGCCGATGGGGCGGTCTGCACCGTTTTTTACTCGACGGACGACGGGAATACGTGGCGGTTTCCGTCGTCCGGCGGGGCGGTTGAGGGCTGCTACGCCGCGCGGCTGCTTGCGTGGGAGGGGCGGCTCCTCATGATCACGACGGACGGTTTTCTACGCCGCGGCCTCTACGAATCCGGTGACGTGGGGGAGACATGGACGGCGGTTGCCGGGGCCCGGCCCAACGCTCTGGGCGACTTTGTGAGCCGTGGCTCCTTCACCTCCCGAGGCGAATTCGTGACGGTGAACATTGAAGGGAGCCGTGCGGTGCTGCTTACCGCGCCGGCGCACTCGCGTGTTGCGGGCGTGCCTCGCGGCAGGCTCCATCTCTGGGCGAGTGACATGCGCCGAATTCACGACGTTGGACTGATAGCGACCGGTGCCACCTCCCTCAACCCCTTTAGCAGTCTGGTGTACGCCGATGACGAGTTATTTCTCTTCTACGAGAAGGAAGAGGGGTCCGGCCGCGGTCTTGCCCTTAAGCCCCTCAGTGGGCCGCTGGGGCGACTCAAGTTCGTCCTGAATACTTGGCGGGCCGTCGACACGCGCGTCTCGGCGGCGTCCTGCGCTTCCACTCAAGTAGCGTGCGGCGTCCCGGTGCCCACGGCCGGGCTGGTCGGGTATTTGGCTGGCACCTTCACTGGGACTGCGTGGGTGGACGAGTACCTCGGCGTGAACGCGACTGTGAAAGGTGGTGCTGAGGCGGCAGGCACGGAGGGGGGCGTGACTTTCAAAGGCCGTGGCTCGTGGGCGGAGTGGCCCGTGGGCAACGAGGGGCAGAACCAGCCGTACTACTTTGCAAACAATGCGTTCACGCTTGCGGCGACGGTGACGATCCACGCGGCGCCGGAGAAGGGCGAAAGCCCTCTGCCTCTGTTGGGTGTGAGCATGAAGGACGGAGACGGCGCCGCAGCCTTCGGTCTGTCGTACACGAGCGACAAGATGTGGCGTGTGTTGTGCGGGGACAGTGCGGGCGGCCCAGACACCGGCACGTGGGAGCCAAATAAAAGCTACAACGTGGCCATCGTGCGCCAGGGCGGCGGCCAGGGCTTCGTGTACATTGACGGCGTGCGTGTGGGAGGCTGGCAGCCGGAGCAGCGGTGCGAAACGCAGACAGGCGTCATCTCGCACTTCTACATTGGCGGGGACGGCAGCGGCGCAGCAGAGCCAGCGAGTGAAGGTGGCCGTGTGACGGTGACGAACGTCCTGCTGTACAACCGCCCGCTGGGTGCGGATGAGATTGGCGCCCTTCACAAGAAAACCGTCCCCAGTTCGACGCCGGAAGAACCAACGCCACTGCAGCCGGTGGCTTCTGCTCCAAGCGAAGACGTTCCCAGTAAAGATGCGAATGCCACTTCGCCTGCGCCGCAGCGTGGGCTGCAAGCCGCGTCCTCGCCTACTCCCGGCAACGCACTGGCAACGGGACACGGGCCCTCGCAGCGGGAGGCCCAGAGTGCAGATCGGGGCGGTGCCGCTGCAGACGCCGCGGCGGCAAAGAGCGCGACATCTGTCCCTGCGACCCACAGCAGCAGCAACAGCAGCGGGGGTGGTGGGGGTCTGCTGCGGCAGCGCAACGCCGAGGACGGCGCTGTGCGTGGGCGCCGAGTGGTGCCGCTGCTGCTTCTGTTGGGGCTGTGGGCCTTTGCGGCGTTGTGAGGGGCGCGCGGCTTCACTGCGGGGCGTGTGCGCCGTCTCCCGCACAGCCACACACACACACACCGCCGGGAATAAATTCCTCTTCGCGGAGGACTAATTTTAACTTTTTTTTTTGTCTTTTTGTTTCTTTCTTTGTCTTTCGGGGGGTTACTTT